CTGTTCGGCTAAACAGCTGCGTAAGAACTCGGAAAGATAGGAACACACTCTGTTGCCTTTTCGTCGTTTCTGCATATATTCGCACCGACTGCAGCCCGGATGAAATGAAAGATGACTTAGAGAAAGCTAAACGCTCAAATATAATACTCGTAACGGGTAACTTTAATGCTCAAGTAGGTAGCTTAAGTCAAACACTAAGACATGTAAGTAGGTATTTTAGTATCCCGGCTCAGCGAACAGATAATGGTGATCGTCTGCTGCAACTGTGCTAAGACAATGTTTTATTTTTAGCAAACACAAATTTTAAGCATAAGGAGAGACATCGTCTAACATGGCGACCCCTTGCACCAGACCAACGATGAATTCAAATAGACCATATTGCCATCATTCGTCGTTGGAGAGGCTCGATAGAAGACCGTTGCTCATTCTGCAATACCTGCTTGGACTCCGGGCACACATCTGCTTGCGCCTCACAGGACGCAGAAAAACCACATTAAGAAGACCCATTAAAATTGAACTGAGTTACGAGAAAGCCGAAAGTAGATTCCAGGATCAGCTGAGGTAGCTCTTAAAACGAAGCTGACCCAGATGTTGCTTGGAAAGATATGCAAACAGCTGTGGAAATAGCAGTGACATTTATTAGCGATTTAAACCAAAGGGTTACAAAAAACCAATAAATTTCTAAGTCTATTGCACTGATGGATTCTCGTGAACTCATCCCATCAGGCTCCGAACACGATAAAGATCGAAAACAAATCAGATCTAGGTTAACCAAAAGTCCAAGGGACGACCATGAGCAGTGGTGGGCAACGAAAGCAAGTGATGGGAAAGGCGGCGACTATAGGGAACACAGGAAAGCTCTACAGAATAATAAAAAAACTGAAATTTATAAAAAGTCAAGTGTGAGACGATCGCCTAAAAAGGATGATGTTCTTATCTGCTCTCAGACGTTTAGAACGATGGGCGGAACACTAAGGGGCTGTTCAGCCACTACCACGACCCACCATTCCGAACAGCCTGAATGGGACATTGAAGTAGGCTCCCGACTCTGATTAAAATCCAAGAAACCATAGCTAATCTGAAACAAGGAAGAGGAACTGGTTCAGATGGATTGGCTCCAGAGGTCTTTAAGCATGGTGATCCAATTTTGGCGATTAGGTTGATTAATATTTTAGAACCTGGGAGTTGAAGATAGTCATATCTGATTGGTCGCAATCACTAATTGTCCCAATATATCAGGGGTGATCGACACCATCCTGTGATAGCCACAAAGGGATTAGATTGACTAAAATGCTAGCCTCAATAGTTATCGGGCGCATAACAAAGACGGGTGAACTGTAAACACGAATAAACCAGGCTGGTTTCAGACATAGTCGTGGCTGCATCGACCACATATTCACCATTCGTCAGGTTCTAAAACAGGCATGCTTATAGGCGTCCGACAATGATAGTTTTTCTTGACTTGAAAGTAGCATTTGACTCTGTAAACTGAGAGGTTCTATGGCAGTGTCTGTCACTGAAAGGTGTACCTCAGAAGTACATAAACCTTGTGAAGGTTCTCTACTACTACTAGTCGAGTCAGAGTTTATGGCGAGCTGTCATCTGATTTCGCAACCTCAAGTGGTGTCCGTCGAGGCTGTTCATTATCTCCATTTTTGTTCAATAACGTCATATATCTACTGCTAGAAACAACGTTCTCGTTGTCTAAATTCTCAGAAATTGATCTCCTAGGAGGTCCACTTATCGATTCAGAATATGCAGATGATATAGTCCTGTTTGGTGACGACTGGTAAAATAGTCTTTTGGTAACACTGAGCAACAACACCTATATGTTTAGGATGCGGTTCTACCCCTCTAGATGCAAGTTGTTGCTTCACGACTGGTCTGCGTCATCACCTAAACCAAGGTTGGGGAGTGAAGTAGTTGAACGCGTTGACAGCTTCACTTAGAAGTCTGATCAGCCCTAATGGGTTGAAGTCTGACCAAATCTCTGCACGGATTCAAAAAGCTCGTTTGGCTTTTGACAACTTACGTCACCCTTGGAGAAGGCGAGATATCCGTTTACAAATTAAGGGACGAGTATACTACGCAGCAGTTCGTTGTGTTCTATTCTACGGCAGCGAAATGTGGCCATTAAGAGTAGAAGATACTCGTGAGTTACTAGTACTTGATCACAGATATCCTAGAAGTATTGCTCGCATCTGCTGGGATCACCGGTTAAGTAGTAGTGAGGTTAAACGCCTTGTACCTTTATTTCTACGAACTGCTTCATTACTGTATCCTTATACTCAATATTTTATATAATATTACTATTTAAGTAACTACTATGCATATATGTGCCTGGTTCTACGTTGTGACTGACTGAGCCTTATAGTTCTGTTACTTCATGTAGTTTAGGTGTTTGTAAAAGGCCCGTTTTGTAATTAGACCATGATTTCCAAGCTGTAAGTTTTCAGGTTGGAATCTTGTTCTATCGGCTTAGGCTGGTGTGCATATTCAGTCAGGTTCTGAAATAAAAGGAAATGTTTGTTTTTGATAATTAAGCTTCATTGTCACTAAATGTAAAGTGCACAATGCGATGGTAAAAAGCAATCTTACACGTGCTACTGATGATCCTAAACCGTGTAATTCAGAGTCTAACTATTCGTTACAATGTTTGCGTGGACTCTAGTCATGTGATCCTCACCAACCTACATAACTCAGTTCAACAGTCAATGACTCTATGGAATTTTGCTGCGTCTTGATCTGACTGCCTTTGACTTATCTCTAGTCTACTACACCAGACGCATCCCACTTATGCCCATTTGTTGGATGACTTGACCATATGCTTTATCATTTTCCTTTGACAACTATCGGTTTGTTCCGTTAATTTAACTGAACCACGTGACATACATAAAAGCAAAGATAAAATTTAGGCTTTTTATTAAAATAAAAGAATTCTAGTTGTTTTGTTTCTCTAAAATATATTAACCTAGAGCTGTTTATAACACCCTTTTCCTCCGCATCATGATATCACAGCCCATATTTTTCAATTCCTAGTTAATTTAGCACTTGTTATTATTACCATGTACATTGCATACATGTTGCTACTGATCTGTAAAATTAATGTTTTCCTCTCTTTTTAGGTATTTAAACAACTTGGATGCCGATGGCTATCCACTTCATCTACCTTAAAAGCTGGAGCCCCAGAATTCTCCAGTATTTTAGAGGAACGCATTTTAGGACAAACATTACAAACAAACTTGGAGGAAACTGGACGTGTCCTGAGTATCGGTGATGGGATCGCACGTGTCTATGGTCTGAAAAATATACAAGCGGAAGAGATGGTGGAATTCTCGTCTGGATTAAAGGTATAACCATCTAAAGTGTTAACATTCCTTAGGGTATGGCTCTAAATTTGGAGCCTGACAATGTTGGTGTTGTCGTTTTCGGGAATGACAAGCTAATCCGTGAAGGAGATATTGTTAAGCGGGCAGGGGCCATTGTTGACGTGCCTGTCGGAGTAGAGCTACTTGGTCGGGTAGTTGATGCCTTAGGTAATCCAATCGATGGAGCAGGTGCTATCAATACGAAAACAAGACAGCGTGTTGGAGTTAAAGCTCCAGGTATCATACCACGTATTTCTGTTCGTGAACCGATGCAAACTGGAATTAAGGCTGTTGATAGTCTCGTTCCCATTGGCCGTGGTCAGCGTGAACTAATCATCGGAGACCGTCAGGTATTTTTAAAATTTTCAATAGTGTGATTCGTCTTTAGACAGGTAAAACGGCTATTGCAGTCGATACTATTATTAATCAAAAGCGTTTCAACGACGCAGCTGATGAAAAGAAGAAGTTGTACTGTATCTATGTTGCCATCGGACAAAAACGTTCAACAGTTGCGCAACTAGTCAAACGTTTGACGGATGCAGATGCTATCAAATACACAATCATTGTGTCCGCAACAGCATCTGATGCAGCTCCGCTTCAGTACTTGGCTCCATACGCAGGGTGTGCGATGGGAGAATATTTTCGTGATAATGGAAAGCATGCATTAATAATTTATGATGATCTATCTAAACAGGCTGTTGCCTATCGACAAATGTCACTTCTGTTACGAAGACCTCCGGGGAGAGAAGCTTATCCTGGTGATGTGTTTTACCTGCACTCTCGATTACTGGAAAGAGCTGCTAAGATGAATGATTCCTATGGAGGCGGTTCACTAACAGCCCTTCCAGTCATTAAGACTCAGGCTGGTGATGTATCTGCATACATTCCAACGAACGTTATCTCTATAACTGATGGGCATTCTGTATCGATTTCGATGGCTGGCTACCAAGGTTGATTTCAATCGGTTAGCACGATGCATACAAATATCTGAGTTATCTGACACGTTGTAAACTTTGTTTTGCACGATCTCACTAGCTATCCATGTGGGATCTTTTTCACGATAATCCACGTACTGGCGGCCCATTGTTTATGTGTAAGCTATAGTTAGAACAAGAACAACTAGGCTTTAAACCTTACCTGTTTCTAAACGCCAAAATAAAAATTTGATTGGTGCAATAGTTAAAAGAATTATAGCCATTAAGTGGAACGCACAAACATATAAGTCAGTATTGCGTGTCTTATCGAAATGAATAAAAACCATAAGTCACACTTATATAATATGATAATAATGATCCTCATTTGGCATGTTACATGCAACAAGAATAGTCTAAGACATGTTTGACGTGGTGGGCGTTTGAGCAACAACTTGGTTGCTTAGTTATGAACACATCCAACATGCGCTTAAATCCAATCTTTATTCCGCAAACAACATCAGAAAAATGAAGAATGGAAAAGCAGTTTGACCTGAAAAGACTTGAGCTGAAGCACCGGAGTCAAACATAGAAACAACTCCAAACATGAAGTACATGTGCCACCGACAGACCGTAAATAAGGATACCTTATCAAAATGCCGAACAAAGATCTGAGCCAATGCGAAAACTACAGAGGAATTACACTACTATCGGTACCAGGAGACTTTTTCAACAGAGTGTTGCTGAACGAGATGAAAGATTCAGTGGATTCCCGATTTTGAGGTCGACAGGCTGGATTCCGTATGGATCGGTCGTGTACAGACCCTAATCGTGACACTACGAGTTATTGTCGAACAATCGATTGGATGGATATTGTCACCATCTATTAACTTCCCTGACTATGAGAAGGCGTTTGACAGTGCGAACAACCTTATGGAACCTTCAGCAGCAGCATGGAGTGAGTAGCTGACAACTTCGTCAACATCTTGGGGGACTCATACGACGGACCACAATGCGAAATCGTGCTTGGAGGACAGCTGACTGATGCATTTCAATTGAGAGCTGATGTCAGTCAGGGTTGCTTACTCATACCATTTCGCTTTCTTCCAGTGGTTAGCTGGATCATAGCGACCTCAAAATCTGACAGGAAGTACGGGATTCAGTGGAAGGCTTGGAGGTGGCTAGACGATCCGGACTTTGAGAATGACCTAGCTCTTCTATCCTACACACACCAAAATATGTAGGTGGAGACGACTAGTATATCGGGAGCCTCTGCAATAGTGGATCTCAATATACAAAAAGGGAAAAAGTGAGATCTTAAATATAACACAGCAAGCACCGAACCAATCACAGTTAATGAAGAAGCCCTGGAAGATGTGTAAAATTTCACGTATCTGGGTAGCATCATCGATGAACTTGGAGGATCTGATGCAGATATATAGGCGAAAATTGGCAAAACAAGAACAGCACTCCTACAGTTGAAGAACATGTGGAAATCAAAACAACTGTCAGTCAGTATCAAAGTGCGAACCTTTAATAAAAAAATCAAGACAGTTCTACCGTACGGAGCTGAAACTTGGGAAACAACCTCAACCATCATAAAAAAGTACAATTATTTCTATGCAAGATACTGAATGTCCACTAACCAGATAACATCAGCAACAATCAACTGCAGGGGAGAACAAACCAGTTTGCAGCTGAGGAGGAAATTAGGGAAAGACGCTGAAAGTAGATAAGATATACATAACGGAAGTCACCAAACTCCATCATGATGCATGCGCTAACTTAGAATCCTGAAAAGGAAACGGAAAAGAGGACGAAAAATGAAATACATTGAGCCGGGAGTTGGAAGCACACATGAAAAGGATGAATAGCACTGTACAAGACTGTAAATGATCGCCTGGCACGGAGTTGAATAAAGAATGCTGGTAAGTGACGTATGCTCATCTACGAGAAACAATAGCTGTAAGTAACCGATATAAGTATGTTAGAGTGACTGCTCGCCAGCGTCACAACATAATAATTGAAAATATCTATGGGTGACTCGGATAAGTACCAGGCTACCATAATGTGTCGATCTGTCTTAGAGTGCATGGTAGACAGTTATTATATGGCTGATAAAGCCAAGTTATTAAGTGTGATATATCCTATAACGCTGTCGTTTTCAAATGAGATTTGATCCCACTACATGCATATAGCCGAATTTATGGATATCCGAACCTATCACTTTAGACCATGAGATCAGAAGAAATTCATGACACTCCTGTCCCTACATTAGCCGGACATGACTCAATAAATTGTTTTACTATCTTTCCACAATCTGTATTTCTTTGTCTAATTATTAACGCGCATACTATTCATTCCTAATAATCATTGATGACTGTTATTTGAAAATCTGCTTGTCGAAGATTGAACTACATTCCACTTTGAAAAATTGGCTAGAACTTGTATTATTTTATAAAGTTTATCATTACTTGTACAGTTGTGTTCTTACAATCAAATTTTGCTTCTTTTATCATGCGTAGTTAGTGCTATGTATTTCTTGTGATCACTGACCCATGAACTTCAGTTGAATTGATATTTTCATGCACCTGTATACACACTCACGTTTATTTCAGTAAAGCTTTATGGAGATGCAATATTGTTTGTCTATATTTGATATTCTAACATACAATCGGCGTATTTTTAACATTATTCAAGGGTGCGCCATCATTTTTGTTCACCGTCAGTTGATTGGGGTGGAAGAATACCGTATATATTTAGGGTTGGGTAGGAGATTCAATAAATGCGAAGTGAAAATGATGGTTTTATGAGTAAAAAAAGTAGTCAAAAGTATTTGAAAAGTACAGTATTGTTATATTTATTAGAAACATACCTTCATTTCCATGTAGTGTAGTAAAGTAAATAAAAAAGGCTCAATCATTCAGTCACAATGTTTATTATACAAAATGAAGGATAAGGTGTCACAGGTTGTCTTAATCTAACATGCAAACTTTCAGTACAAAGACGCACGAAACATAATTCCTAGAAAAGTTAAAGAAGTGAATAACTTTGAAGCTCTATACTACTTCTATTCCAATGTTTCGTTGTTAATTGACTCTTATCCATACAGTTTCATCGCTAGGGATCCAGCATCAAAACTCACTGGAATACAAATTACTCAAGAGGTTATCTGGAGAATATCTGTCCAATACGGTTTATGTGCAAGTAAACAAGCGACTTTCAACTCCAGACGAAATCACTGCTAAGACATCGGTTTACTGATGACGGATGGTCATCCAAAATTTTGTATAAGACGAGGCAGAATTGAGTGCTTTTAAGACTTGTAGAACTATGGTCTACTATGATATTAGTACTGCTCTAATAATAAACCTAATCCTAAATTTGTAGATTTGTCATGATATAACTGCCTAATCTATAAGATCTTACGTGGAAGTCACACCATCGACTACACCAACTCACTGTATCGTATCAATTACCAATACATGATGTAGAACAAGGTTAGGTTAGAGAAGGAACAATATATTTAATATGAATAGAAGATATAAAGTAACATTCAGCAGAGACCACGCCTGCATGGCCGAGCCATGCCACTCGACCAACTCCAGTCCATTCAATTCATTGTTCGCGCCTTCTCCGTTGGTAGGTATTTCTCCGTGTTAAATATTGAATATCTATTTTCTGAGTAGTGTTGTGTTCAGCTTTGAAGATTGTGTGGATATGGTCTAATGCCACTACAGACTATCGTTGTAAGGTGTGTTTGATGGGGAATCTCTACTCTCATTATAAAAGGATCTAATATTCCTGAGACCAGTTTATGATTTGTGATAGCCATCTAGAGGCAAATGAATCCCCATAATAAATAGTTCTGTAAGTCTCCCACACTGATGTTGACACCATTATCTCTATCAGTCAAAGGAAAAGAAAAGAATTCAAACGACAAGAAGAGACGAATATAGAAAGTTTTCGCGTGTATTCTGTGTTTGCCAGTGCTACCTTACGAAATACTTTTAAGACGTCAAAAGTATTCGGATTGCTAAGAGTGCCTTTACCACTGAGAGGAACTGTGTATGGGGGTCTGACACGTCGCGCTCATTGAAGTCAGCTTCTGTGCAACAGAACCAGGCTTCTGTATTATCGGACCAGAAGGGCATCAGGTGAAACGAGGGGGGCGAAAAAGTCTTTATCTTAAAATAACTTAGGAGTCTGTTTTAACATGATGACTATAACGTATACCAATGAACGAGAAAATAAGTCCGAAAACATGAGAACGAAATTTCAATATTATCAGAAGGGTTTTGTGGAGTATTTAGTAATTTTATAGTTGAATTTATGGGTCAGCTGAAGTTATACCAACATGGAAAACCTGGAAGTACTGGATGGCTGTTTCGTCTTATTATGGGACTCCCCATCATCTCGCGGAGCGAAATCGTGGATGC